AAGTAAAATGTTCATTTAAATAATGTTTATAAAGAGTATTAATTTGATTAACATAATAAAAATTCATTTCTGAAATAACTCCTCTATTTCTTTTTATAATTCTTTTCTTTTGATTTTCTTCATTAGCATATAAAAATACATGAAATGTTTCATTTTCTATATTTTCTCTTTTTACCCATTCTGTAAAGATATTTCTTGCTATAACATTTGGAGTTGCATAATCAGTTGAAATACAATATGTATTATATTTATTATATTCTAATTGGTATTCTTTTTCTATTAAATATATTTTATTCGTAATTTCTTCTCTTTCTTTTTCTGTCATTGTTTTATCTATTTCACAAAATACTTCAATTGCTTCACGAGGATGTCGTTCAATAATTATTACTTTTTTATTTTTATTATTTTTTAATTGTTCTTCATAACATTGAAGAATAAATTTTTGTAATGTGTAATTTCTTTCTATTCCATTCCCTACATCTGATATTAACATTTTTCCAATTCTAGGTGAATAATCAATATATTCTTCTATTATTCCTACATTCTCTTTATTAAAATATTCAATTAATGCTTGTATTGTTGTTGTTTTTCCAACTCCTATACTTCCACTTATAACAATTGCACCGCTATACTTGTTCATTATATACGAATGAAAGTAATCAGATGTAATGAGTTTAAATAGTATATAAATTGAGGATTTATTCTATATATATTGTCAAAATTCATAATAAATTCATAATAAACTCATAAAATGAAGAATAACTCAGTTATATTTAAATAAAAATTGTTCATCTTTTTATTTCTTCATCATTCCAAACATCAAATGGTGTTTTTGAATCAATATAATAAATAAAACTTTGATTTGGTGATGATTGAACTATATCTACTGCATTTTTATATGTAAGTGTTCCATCAGTATAATTTAATATATATACTCCAACAGTACTAACATATTCTTTAGTCGTGAATATCATATATCCATTACTATAATATTTATCACGATCAGATAATTTATCAATGGTGGATGAATTTCCTGCATCAATTCTATTTGAATTAAAGTAAATTTTTGTTTTCTTTGTTGAATCCGTATCAGTATTTATCATAAACATAAATTGAAAGATATACATTTTATGATCAGTACTTGTATTTTTAAAAGTTTTTGATGAATCAGTTCCCCATGACATTAATGTTGATAAAGGAAATGTGTATGTAATATTCTTCAGATCTTTAATTCCAATTGTGTTAATTATATCTGCTTGTTTAATTGTTGTATTTCTTGATATTTCGGTGTTAATATAAGACGTTAAAGATGTCATTTTTAATAATGCTTCTTCATTAGAATAAAATGGTGAGTATAATGAAGTATTAACAAGAGATGATAAAGATATTAATTGATTTGTTAAATTATTAATTTCATTCATATTTGTTGTATTTAATGTTGATAATTGCGATACATCATCTCGAATATCATTAATATATGTATTTGTTTCTTTCATTTTCTCTTTCATTTCATCTATTTCTTCATTTGTTGTTATATTCTTAACATTAATTGTTGTTATTCCATCTGTTGTTTTAATTGTATCAAGATAAAATGTGTTGTTGTTGAAATAACGTGTTGTTAAAATATTATTTTTATTTAAATATTTTGAACCAATTGCTTCCATTTAATAATGTAAATTAAGTTCTAAGATAAAATATTCATCCCAAAGTCCAACTGGGAAAATACTCTTTCCTTTATAATCTTTAAACCAT